CAGAGCCTCTGGCGGCTGAGGCTGAGGAGAACTTGCCCAGTTCCCACCAAGGCTCAGCCCCAGCCCCACAGCTGCACACGGGTGCCTGCCGGGCGAGCCCTGGTCCACACACGAGGGGACAGGGCACTCCACGGGCCAGGGCCCAGCTGGGGCCGCGAGGGGAGGCGAGCCAGGTGGGTGCAGCATGCACTACCGGGAGGAGTGGGCTGGCATCACCAGCGGCCCGGCGCCTTCATCTCCCCTGAGCATGGGAAGCCCGGCAGGAGAGGCTGTTAGTGCCGGGCTGCACTCCACAGGACAGCGAGACAGTGCGCACCAGGGCCTGAGCTTGACCACGCTCAGCCCACTGCCTGTCTTCCACAGTTCATGCATTTGTCTCCTCACGTTGCCAGACACTTAAGATTTTTTTCCTGTGTTCTGGGTTGGTTTTTTTTTTTTGGTACCAGGGATTGAACTTGAGTCCTTGCACTTGCAAGACAGGCAGCGGAACCAGTGAGCTAACTCCCCAGCCCTGTTCTAGGTTGTTTTAAGCTTTTACATATAAGTCTGTGATCCATTACAAATTAAATGTGACATACAGTCCGAGGAGCTGGGGTTAACTGCCCCAGAGAGGATATTGAAAAGTCTGCTTCCCACCCGGAGATGCCTTCCTGCTACTGCAAAGACCGAGAGGCAGTGTCCATCGCTCTCTTCTGGGCTGCTGGGACCCTCACAGACCCTCGTCTGCCTTTATGCCACTGCCGGCCCATCCTGATCACTGCAGTTCTGGACTAAGTCTCGAAGACATGCAGAGTCCGGAAGACCTCTCCAAATTTATTATTTCTCAAAGGGATTTCGGCTGCTGTGAGTCCTTTACAGTTAAATATAAATTTTAAATGAACTTCTGTGAACCCCACCCACCAAAAGGAAAGGAAGCTCTTGGACTTGGGAGAGACTGAGTTATGTCACTGGGAGGGAGGCCGACACCGAGGAGCAGGGTCTGGGACACGCAGCCACCGTCACTGGTCACTGGTCTCAACGGGCATGTGCTGCACCTTCACTAGTCAGGTCTTTCAGATCCTGTCAGACTTATTCCTAAGATTCAGACAGTGCTGGGTATCATTGCAGTTAGCATTTATTTCTTTTTTTTCCCATTAAGTTTATTGGTACATTTTAGGTATAAAATACATTTACATACATCATTGGGATCTTGTACCATTACATGAGTATCTTGGTT